CGAGGAGTTTGGTGGGATAGCCCCACCGGTATCTGATATTGTGGTCTCGAAGGGTCGCTGTTGTAGACAGGTCCGCAAATATCTGCATAGTTGGATGGTAGACGTGCTGTGCAGCTGTTCTTCAGTATTACATCCTTTACGTGGAAGTAGTAAACTTGTAGCATCACACCTCTCAGTATGGTAGCTGCCAGGTGTTTTGGTCGTGGGATCCTGTGGACCCGGTCGAGGAGCAGCATGTCGGTCGGGATGTCTGGTGCTATTACATTGAAGAGGTCCCAGGAAGGTCCCTCCAATGGTTGTGGTGACCGCCCCACACAAGTAATACTGTAACCAAGATGGTGGAAAGTGTCGCTAGGCCACCCAACCCACCACTGGAACCTGACATTCTGGCACGCTTCAATATGGCATTAAAGACCTTCTGGAAAAAGCTGGAAGAGCGGCAGAGGGCCACACGCGCATTGGTCAAAAGCACACCACGAGCGCTACCCTCTCGCTCCCACGAGTTGTAAAAATTAACAGACATCACAATCAATGCAAAAGGTCAAGACAATGATACTATTTTTTCAAAATACTGTAGAAATATACACTGATGAAGAATAATACCAGCAAGAGACACATCTAAAGTAGATAACTACATAGTTACATAGCTGTTTTTGCTGTTGATCCAAAAGAAAAAAAAAACGTTTTAGGTGCTTCCAATTTTGCAACATACTAGGAAGAAAATTCCTTCCTGATCTCAAACTGGCAGTCAGATAGCTACTTGGATCAAGGAGCTATAACTCCACTAATTAAAAATGATATCCCTGAATATTATGTTTTTGCAAGCATTCATCCAATTGCTGTTTAAACATCTGTATAGACTGATAAAATCCCCATATTAAGCCCTTAAGGACCGCGGACGTACTAGGTACGTCCGACAAAAACCATACCATACTAGGTACGTCCGCAGCAAATATATTACTTACCTAATCGCCACCAGTCTGGGGGGAATGCCTGACAGGCCAGGCAGTACCCCCTTCTGCAAATTAGGCTCCACGGGCAATGTGATTGCTCTGAAAGAGCGGTCACATGGCAGCAATAGGCATCCATAGTGCTGCCTGCATGGGGACTGCCTAAACTGAAAGACAGTCTCCCTGCATCTGTAAAATAAAATATATATAATGGCATTCTAGACCCTGTAAGAGCATCCTGTATGTGATTAAAGTTCAATTTAGAGATTGAGATACAATTATTTAAGGTAAATTACATCTGTTTGAAAGTGAAACCAGTTTTTATTTCATGCAGGCTCTGTCAATCATAGCCAGGGGAGGCGTGGCTAGGGCTGCAAAAACAGAAACAAAAGTGATTTAACTCCTAAATGACAGTGAATTGAGCAGTGAAATTGCAGGGGAATGATCTATACACTATAACTGCTTTATTTAGCTAAAGTAATTTAGGTGACTATAGTGTTCCTTTAAATTCAGTTCAAACAGATGAACAAGAACCATTCGAATTGTCGAATTAACTGTCGAACGGCAGTCTGGAGAAGGTAAAACTTCAGTTGAATTAAAGATGGTCGTCAATTTACCTACAGCAGGCTCCCAGCCTGGGAGGTAAATTGCCTGCACGCTTCCACTTCTGGGTGGTCCGCCTGTGTGGTACTTGGTTCAGTAAGCCCCATTTACTGAACCAAGTGGAAGAAAGCCATGAACACAGTATATTAACAGTCTGGGGATACTGAGAACACCATCTTAAAGGGGCATTGTCCCAAAAAGTCTCAATATGTCCACATACAGTTCTTAAAAGGCCCTACACAATCCAATAGAAATCCATACACTGTGATTAAAGGGCCAGTAGCAGCACAATAAAAATCCATTATGCCCAAATAATGCTTACACAGGGCAAAGTCTCCCAGGGGCCATAGTCAGAAGGCAGGAGGCGGGCAAACAGGCTTCTCCAATGCCCAGTGGCGAGGTTGGTCCGCCACATATATATATATATATATATATATATATATATAAATAATACAAAATACATTTATCCATATACATAATTACATAAATAATGTCAAAAAAAGGATGGGAATAGCACCGACGGACCCCCAGCACCTCACCTGCTCCAGCTGCAGCATGTTTGCAGAAGAGCTGATGTCCCGGCTAGGAGAGATCCTGTGTTCGCCTGGAGGGAATCCTAGTTAAGGGACTACCTAATCTCGGCGCTGGTCTTACAGGCTGATAAAGAGCCCCTGGTAGCAGCATCCTACTGAGCAAGCTGCTCCCGACGTTTGACTGAAATTCCAACCAGAAGGAGGTCGTACTCAGCAGGAAAGAGGCATGCTTATGCGCAGCACAGCCTGGGAAGAGCCTGCTGATAGAAAAGGAGAATACATGCCGGTTAAGGAATTGGCTCCAGAAGTAAAAGAAGCAGCTCCTGGATGAAGAAAAGGTTTAAAAGAAGCCTGCTTTCCTCCCCTGTGCCTATGGTGGGTGAGGGTAGAGTTGATGGCCGGGCTGAAGACATCCTGACAAGAAGCAAAGAAAGTTTGGATGATGGGAGAGCGTGTTATCGAGACGACATGCCAGTCCTGGAAGAAATGGAGGCGCGAGGCAGAGCTGGTACTTCAGGTGGTGAGTATGAACGAAACACTGCTGAACTGGCTAAGATTAGGGAGGCGTTGGTAGCGGTCACTGGAATAGTAAAGGTCTTTACAAAAGTACAGCTCAGGCTTTGAGGGTAGTGGGAGTAGTAGTTCAAGAATATTGTGTAAGAAGAAAGTGACAAAGATGAAGAAAAGCATAGATTTATCCCGCATAATTGTAATAACTGGCTGCAAGCATTTGTATTTTCTCATTCATAATGGGAGAGAAGAAGTCAAAGTTATGTAGCGGGCATTTCCAGCATGTGTAAGTTATATTAGAGGCATTGAAGAATTTTGATGGCTTGCTATTTGGTGGTAATAAAGTCAAAGTTTTTAAAAGTTGGTGAACCATATGTTATATGGTTATGGTTACAAAGTTATGGTTACAAAGTTTTGGTTGTATGGCTTGGTTTACCTATGATGAACTTTAAAAAAAAACAAAAAAAAACGGGCCATCCACTCTTCCCTAAATGGGGAATGAAGGATGTTGGCCTTTGACTGAACCTGATGCTGTAGTTCTGGCTAATAGGGCGGAACTCTGGTGAGTTATGTTTTAATTCTCTGGGGGTTTAAAGACCGGAGATGTTTGGTTACTGCTCTGGGGGTTTAAAAACCGGAGATATTTGGTTAATGCTCTGGGGGTTTAAAAACCTGAGATGTTTGGTTAATGCTCTGGGGGTTTAAAATCTTATAGTACAGTAAGAACAATATTATTATAGAACTCTTATTAAAAAATATATATATATATATATATGTATGTATATACATATATATATATATATACATATATATATATATATATATAATTTCATTGGCACTTTCTACTGAAAGTACTCATATTGTTATTTAGGACTCCAGGCAGCTAAAAGGCCGCGTCCTAATCGGTAGGTGTACCCAAACAAGGAGAGAGCTAAGTTATTGCTTCAAGGTTTTTTTTTTGTTTTTTTTATGATTCCAAGGTTTTATGGTTCAGGTTGTTCAGTTGTTAATAATTTAAAATCAGTTTTACAGGATGTTGAATCTGTTAAGCAAATTTACAGGCCTCCTTGCGCTAATTTCGCCTTTCTACTTTAGGTTTAATTAAAAAAAAATTTAAAAAAAAGAGAGACAGGGTCATTCAGGCTAATTCTCCATTTATTGCCCCTTTGGTGACAAATTTGACAAGGATACATGCTCAGGTCCTACACATAATGTGATGATGCACAGATGGAGAAGAGAATTTCGACCGGGTGCACTGTTGGCTGAAGGTGGACATGGAGTCAGCCTATGGGCTATTAACGGTGCATCCGGAGGGTTTAAATTCGTTGGGATTTTCATTCCTTGGCAAGTTTTATTTTAATAAATGTGTACCAATGGGTTGTTCCATTTCCATTTTTTTTATTTTTTTTATTTTTTTTTTACTTTGAAGCTGTTCGGCATTCTTAGAATAAGTTGTCAATGATTAGGCCTATTAGCATTTGTAAGTCGTATTATGCCTATAAAAAAAATTGTAGGTGATTGGCGCTGGTTTGTGAAAAAAAAAAAAAGAAATCTGTTCACTGTTGTGTAAGGATTTCTACAGAAATTAAGAAAGACTCAAACATATTTAGAACTAGAAATGGGCATTTGCTCAGTGGCCAGATAAATGGGTAGAGCAAGGGTTGACCAGGAATGTAACCCCCTTTTGGAATTGTTACCATTTGTAGCAGCAGGTTTGGTATGAGAAAAAGAACTGCAGAATAAACAAATATTATTCTACTGTGACAATAAGGCAGTTGTACAGGTCTTTAATACTATGGATTTTAAAAGTTGCTTTGTTATTAATTTGTTGTGAAATCTAGTGTTGTTATTTTCAAACATAATAATATTTGGTTGAAGGCTGTGCATATTCCGGGTATTGAGAACAGGGCTGTCATCAGAAATATTGGGCCCCCCGGTGCCTGCACCCGAGTCCGCCCAAAGTGCTGCCCCCCCCGAATCCGCCCACAGGGATGCAGTGTCTGCAGGGCCGGTGCAAGGATTTTTGCTGCCCTAGGCAAAAGTAAAGTTTGCCGCCCCCCCATGTGACATCACAATGCCCCACCCATATGATCTGCCATGTTAACTAACACCAGTGCTGCAGTGCCGCCGTGTTTACATTAAAAGGCCTGCAGGGACAGGCTATAGACACCAGAACCACTAAATTAAGCTGCAGTGGTTCTGGGGACTATAATGTCCCTTTAATGTGAGGTAAATTAGAGATTAGTGCCACGAATAATATACTAGATTGCCTACTTACAACCAGATGAGGATGATGATGGGCTCTAGCTGCCATCTGGCTCCACTGGTCTGGTGTACAACAGGCTCTCTGGAGGCGGTTTGTAACCGTGGTCACAAAAATCACTGTTCTGGGAGAATGGGAAGCAGCTCCATTTTTTTGAGGGCCCTTTACACAGCTCAAGGTCTGGGTCCCAGGGTCCACCTTCATGTTCCACCAATGAGTTTGTTCACAGGGAGTGGAGTGTGTGTGTGGGGGAGGTCCTGATGTGTGTAAGGAATGCATTGTGTGAATCTGTGTTTGTATGTGTAAGGGCTGCAAGATGAGTTTGTGTATGTATGGGATGCAGTGTGTGAGTCTGTAAGGGATGCATTGAGTGTGTGTAAGGGGTGCATTGTGTGTTGCTGTGTGTAAGGGATGCATTGCTTGTGTACGTGTGTCTGTGTGTAATGCATTGTGTGTTTTTCTGTGTGCAAGGGGTGCATTGTGTGTGATGGATGTCAATCTCTCCCTCTCCCCCCCATCAATTTCCTTCTCCCCCCCTCTCCCTCCAATTTCCTTCTTCTCCCCCTCCCTCCCTCTCTCCAATTTCCTTCTTCTCCCCCTCCCTCTCCAATTTCCTTCTTCCCTCCTCCAATTTCCTTCTCCCCCCTCCAATTTCCTTCCTCTCCCCTCCAATTTCCTTCCTCTCCCCGTCCTCAAAATTCCTTCCTCTCTCCCTCCCTCAAATGTCCTTCCTCTCCCCCCTCCCTCCCTCAAATTCCCTTCCTCTCCCCCCTCAAATTTCATTCCTCTCCCCCCCTCCCTCAATTTCATTTCCTCTCCCCCCCTCCCCCTCAAAATTTAATTCCTGTCCCCCCCCCCCTCCCATTTTAATTCCTCCTCCCCCCCCCTCATTTAATTCCTCCTCCCCCTTCCCATTTCATTTCCTCCACCCCCATCCCATTTATTCTCTTCCCTCCCTCTCATTTCATTTCCCTCCACCCCCCCTCCATTTCATTTCCTCCTCCCCTTCCCGAACTTTCATTCCCTCCCCCCCCTCCATTTCATACCTGCCCCTCCCTCATTTCATTCCCCTCCACCCCCTTCCCATTTTCTCTCCCCTCCCTCCATTTCATTTCCTCCTCACCCCCTTCCCATTTTATTCTCTCCCCCTCCTCCCATTCGTTCCTCCACCTCCCATTTCATTTCCCTCCCCTCCCATTTGCATTTCCTCCCCTCCCCTTTCATTCCTCCCCTCCCATTTCATTCCTCCACCCCTCCCATTTCATTTCCTCTCCCCCTCCACTCCCATTTTCATTCCTCCTCCACCCCCTCGAACTATTCCTCCTCCCCTCCACCCCATTTCATTCCTCCACCCCCTCCATTTTATTCTCTCCCCTCCATTTCATTCCTCTTCCCCCCTTCCCATTTCATTTCCTCCACCCCCCCCTCCCATTTTCATTCCTCCTCCCCCCTCCTCCCATTCATTTCCCTCCACCCCCCTTGTTTTATTCATCCCCTCCCTCCCATTTCATTTCCTCCCCTCCCATTTCATTCCTCCTCCCCCCTCCCCATTTCGGCCTCCCCCTCCCATTCCTCCTCCACCCCTCCATTTCATTTCCTCCTCCCCTCCCCTCCCATTTCATTTCCTCCACCCCCCCCCTCCCATTTCATTCCTAACCCCCACTCCCTCGAATTTCATTCCTCCTACCCCCCCTGACACTGGCGGCGGGCGGGCAGACCGGCGCGCGAGGGAGCACTCTCTGGGTGCTTCCTCTTCAGCTCCCTCGCGTGCCACGTACTGATGCCGGAGCCGGAAGATGACGTCATCTTCCGGCTCCGGCATCAGTACGGTGCGCGAGGGAGCTGAAGAGGAAGCCCACAGAGAGTGCTCCCTCGCGCGCCGGCCGGCTTTCAGGGCCAGCCTCTGGGGGGCCCTGAGGTGACCGGCTGCTGGGCCCCCCAGGAGAAGAGGCTGGCCCTGTGGGTACATACCGGGTCACAGGGCCCCCTGCGACCCGGTATGTACCCACTGAATGTGGGGCCCGGACGACCTGAGCAGTCCGGGCCCCCCAGGACCGCCGGGCCCATGACAACCGTTGCGGTTGTCATGCCCTGATGGCGGCCCTGATTGAGAATAAGATAGCTAATGCTATCTTCGTTTCCAGCTCCATGCTTTCAGGAGCTTACTACAAGTCATATGGGAAGAGCCGTGCAATTTCTCATGAAAGCACTTGCACAGGGCAAGTGGAGTGCTTATGTGTCAGCATTAAATGAAGGGTATAAATTACATACGAATTGATCCAGTAGGTGGAAATATAGAAGCTGCTTTCTCTTTTGTGGTTCAGTGTATTAGCAGTGGTATAGCAAAAAAAATTGACAAAAAAATGATATTTCCAGGTGTTTAGCTGGTAACATAATTTTAGGTTTTGGGTAGACCAGTAGTAGTGCAGACATTTGTGAGTAATCAGTTGTTAAAAGGTTATTTTAAAATGCTTCGTATGGCTGACGATAGTCGGCCCATAATATATTCGGCCCACAATATATTCAGTGTTGGGAGAGATGCTGGAAGTTTTGAAACACTGTTTGCTATTCACAATTCGAGTAAATTTGTTTTCAGCAGCACTTTATTTAGCCTTTTTTGCAGCACTTTGGATCAGTGAATTGGGTTTTTTTGGTAGATTTGGACTATCAGGTTTCAGTTTAAGAATGTATTGAGCAGGGACGCAAAGGTGGATGTTGGTTGCAATCTTAAAACCGATCAATTTAAAAGGCAGATGGATTCATTTGTCAGGTATCGAAAAAGCAGAGTTTGCCCAGCGGAGATGCTGCGTGCATATTTAACTGTCCGCCCTGTGGAACAGGGCCTACTGCTAGTGGCATATCTCAGGCTCTCCTCTAACACGTTCTCAATTTGCAGAATGTTTTGCAGTGATGTTTTGAAAGACTTGGGTACAAAGGCAAATTTACTACTCATTCCTTCAGAATTGGAGTAGCATCTGAAGCAACAAACCTAGGTTTTGGAGCAGAGGCTATAAAAGAAATTGGGGACGGGAGACAAATTGTTTTAAGTTATATGTGCGTAATGACATGTAATGTTTGTTTTCATCCTTTCACTCTGTTATTACTATTATTTCCTCAGGTACCGTAACAAATGTTTGGGTTATGGGTCATTTCTTTGGTAAAGCAGGCCATGTAAGGGAAGGAGCAGGAATTTATGGACTGAATTTGGACTTCAATCGAGATGACATCACAATATATTGGAAAGGTGTAGGTGGTCTACAATTTCACCAGTTAATGGAACTCATATTAAAGTGTTGGTCTTGGCCTGCTCCAGCTGTTTTAATATTTCATATGGTGGTAATGATATAGGTGTGGTTAAACCTGCGCAGTTATCACGTAAGTTAAAGAAAAATGTGTGTGTTTGTTTTTTGGTATTGAAAAAATTTATCTAGTTTGGTCGGAGGTGGTTCAGCACTGGATGGTTTAGTGAACCGAGAGATAAAAGCACTGAGAAGAGTGAGTGGTAAGTTGAATTTGGCAAGGTCAAGATTTGCCACGATTGGGAGGGTTTTCACACAGACATTGCAAATGAGATCAGTATGAACAGGGCCTTTTTAATGAAGGCCAGGTTCATTTGTGCTATATCGGTCCGGATATTTTGATCTAAAACATGATTGAAAAAGGGCCTTGGCTATGGGGGCCTCAGCTGGGATAGTCCTACCCCAGCTGAGGCGGTGGGGCAAAAGTCATCCTCAGGTTCAAGTTCTGAGGAAGGATATGTGTTAAATGGTTGTATTTATAAGGCGGTCAGGTTAGTTATGACTGACTGGCACTAAGTGATGGTGATAAATGGTTGTCACTAAGTGATGGTGAAAGTAAAAGTTGAAGTTAAGTGAAAAGTTTTGAAGTTAAGTGAAAAGTTTACCTGAATATGTTACCATTATTAAGTTACTGGTGGTGTGCCCCATTTTCAAGCTTTAATAAACACCACGTCCAAGCCCATTGAAATAAAATGAACTGTGTCTGTGTTTATTGTGTGGTCTAAGTTATTTATGCGAATTATTGCCTACCAGACATATATACACGTAGACTTCAAATATATAAATATGTATATATATTTAAATTTTATGTGCATAATTATGTAATATTTTTACACAATTGAGTAATTTTATTGATTGCAATTTGCGGGACCTGCCTGAAAACCCAGGCTGAAAGTCCAGATAATTTAATTTGCTATTACTGTATTTAACCCTGTAACTTTCCATGACAACCTAAAACCTGTACATGGGGGGGTACTGTTTTACTCTGGAGACTTCGCTGAATATAAATATTTGTGTTTTTGATATTGTTATACGTTTTACTGTTTTGAAACACTTTGTGTTCAGCGAACTAAGAGGTTAAGGCAGAGAATTCCACATCCTTAGTGTTATGACTGTAAAAAATAATTTCCTTTGCCTTAGACTAAATTTCCAGCATATCTTTGTATAATGCTATCATATCCCCTCTGAGGCATATTTTTTCCAAACTAAAGAGATTTAAATGTGTTAATCTTTCTTCATAACTAAAATGCTCTATTCATTTTATTTTGTAACTCTGTACTTTTTCTAGTGCTATAATATCTTTCTTTAGAACAGGTGCCCCAAATTGCACAGCATATCCACAGTGTGGTTTTACCAATGACTTATAATGAGAAAAAGTTATATGATATATATATATATATATATATATATCTCATTACTGACTAATATATAATATATTACAAGTTATGTTATATTATATTATATAATTGGCAAGGTCAAACCATTTGGATGCAAACAAATACACATCATAGACCATGTGGGTTATTCACTAAACAGTGACATGTAGGGAGTTTTAAAAAAACGAATAATTGAATTATGGCCAAAACAGATGTCTTGGGGAAAATTCTCCAACTCCAATTGTAGCGGACTGCGGGTAACCCAACTGGTTACCTCTGCTAATTCCTTCCTTCAGCCACTCTGGAACCATCAAATTAAGCAGACATCCATTCCCCCCCAGTAATTGGATGAGACACAACTCTAATTAATTTGCAGGTGAAACTGAAGATCAACCAGATTGCAAGCTAAATTGTAGTTACCATGGCAACTTCAAATGTCCCGCAATTAGCATGTCATTACTAATTATAAACACAATGTCCCATAGTTCATTATTTTTGTAGAAGATTCCTTCCTTCCAAATTCAAGTATGTACAATTGTTGCATATAGCTACTTTAGCTTCTATAATAATCAGTCACTCATGGTCACTATCTTCAGATGCTACTCATGTGGTCTATTTTTATCCAGTAACCTTCCTCCCTTGTTCCAAGAATCCACAATTTGTGATGA